CAGGAATTTGGGGGTTTGTAGAGGTTTGGAGGTTCTTTAGAAGCTTATGTTGCTTTTCCTGCACTTCTGATATCACAACCTCTTGACCACCGGCCACTTTTCTGAATAATTCTTGAAACTGTTTTAGGTCGTCACTAGGTGAGGTATAGTTTGGGATAACTGCTTCATCAGATACAGAAGATAAGTTATTGATTGGTGGTGTCTGCTTGTTGGATGGTCAGATCATCCTTAGTCTTCTCTTGCTCAGAGTCCGTGCCCTCTATGGGAGAGTGTAATGGGTTAAAGTGTGTAGAAGATGGAGATCTCTGCGCTGGTGTGGGAGGGGCAGTGGAGCTGTGTCGCAGTGCCCAGCAATGATAGAGGGACTAGTGGCTATGATGCTAAGGATAGTACTGCCAGTTGGGGTGCCAAAGGGGGGTATTGATGATGTTGTAATCTGTGTGCCCTGTATGATTCATGTGCTCTCTCTGGGAATGAGTATTGTGAGAAGACACTCTTTGTATCCCCCTGGTAGGCACTGAGTTGCGATAGAGTAGGTGAGCGTGGTGGAGGCAGACAGCCTTTCATTGATAGGGGAGAGCATGAGCGGTGCTATCATAATCAGGAGTGCTGACCAGCACCTGGTGACTCGGTGACTATGGGGTTCATTAATACCGCCTATATCTAGCCAGGTATCGGGTGGTCAGCCAATAACAATGCAGGTAGGAATTTCAAACTGGAAAAGTTGAGTTTGTATTTCTCTGTTCTTTGTCTGAGAGGCAGAGTGGTTTCTTCCAAGACTGAGGGAAGTGGGAGACACTTCTCTCTCTAAAGATGGACATATTAAAATGTGTAAGTAGGGAAAAGTTTAGATAGTCCGTCAGAATTTGTTGTTTTCTCTGTTTGGGGGATTGGAAATCTGTCAGAATGTGTCAATGAACGCATTTTTGTGAAATATGCATCTCACCAAGCAGCATATAAATTAATGGAGATTGCCTAACTCCTAGAACTGGAAGGAACCTTGAAAGGTTGTTGAGTCAAGTCCAGTCCCCTGCCTTCATAGCAGGACCAAGTACCATCCCTGACAAATTTTTGCCCCAAATCCCTAAATGGTCTCCACAAGGATTGAACTCACAACCCTGGGTTTAGCAGGCCAATGCTCAAACCACGGAGCTATCCCTCCCCCCTAGATATTTGCTGTGGTCATCAGAGGCTGGCATAGAGTCCCGCTATTTCTCACATTTTTTGAAGCTGGAGCCTGGCATTTCCTCAGGTGGCAGACTACACTGCTCGCTTCTGTGACTCTTATTTATAAGTAAATGCTCCCTTTCTTTCTTGTTTTTTCCGGTTTGTAGTTGGCTGCAGCTTGCCACTGCGTGACGGTAAATTGTTTGACTAATTATATACAAGCTGAAGTAAAATAACTGTTTTTTGTTTTGTTTTGTTTAACAAAAGAAAAGCTAACGGGAACAGGTAAGTCTACAATATCTATCTAATTTTCTTTCGCTTTCCTTCACAGAAGTGACATGAGGAAGAAAGGTTGGAGCTCCATCCACAGACAAGAGTGGCGAAGGAGGAACTGAAAGGAATAATTGTTGCTAGTGTCACCATCTTGAACTATTGGTATGTGATGTACTTGTTGAATCATCTTAAATCCAAAATGGGTCTCCATCCACCACTCTTCTTCTGGGTTAGGAAGTACATTGAGTAAAACCCTCTCCCTTGGAAAGCAGTTGGTACTGGCTCTATCACACCAAGAAGATGGAGGACCTCTTGCCTAAGGAGGGTCTTGTGGAAGGTGTCCCTGAAGAGGGATGAGGAAGGAGGGTGAGTAGGAAGAAGAGAAATAAAGGAGATGAAGTAACTGACTTTGATGAGCTCCAACACCCATCAGTACAGTGTTATTTGTGCCCATTGGTGTAAAAAGGCCAGAGGTGATGAGTGAACTATAGCTGTCCAGTTGGTGGTGTGACAGCAGTAGGGATGTCTCTTTCTGGCTCCTGACAGAACCTTCAAATCTGCTGCTTTGATGAAGAAGGTTGGGATGTTGAGGGTTGCTGTTGTTGGCACTGAGGTCTGTGCTGTTGAGGCCTGTGTTTTTGGCAGAAGTCATATCTGGTTCTATGGGCCTTTGGTAGCTGTTATACCTTGTTCTCTTGAAAGAGGGCGTGTACATGCCCAGATTCCAGAGGGTTGTGCGGGAGTCCTTCACTGAATGAAGGACTTCATCTGTTTTGGCCATAAATAAGTTGGGCTTGTCAAAGGGGAGGTCTTCAACTTTCTGCTGGAGGTCCCTAGGTATCCCAGACGCTTGGAGCCATGATGCTCTCTGCATAATGATAGCCGAGGCTGTGATCCAGACAGAAGTGTTGCCATGTCCATGGCAGTTTGTAATGCCATGTGGGAGATGGTATGCCCTTCATGCATGAAAATTAGCAAAATTGGTCTCTTGTGGTCCAGGAGAAACTATAAGAGCTCCTGGAGTTTAGAATAGTTGGAGTAATAATAATCAGCGAACATAGCAGTGTAATTTGCTGGTCTAAGAATCAAGATGGCTGAAGAATAGACCTGGTGCCCCCTGATGTCCATCTGTTCATGGTCCTTGTCCTGTGGAGTAGACCTCATGTTGGGCTGTTTTGCCATGTGACGGACTGAGTCAACTACTAAAGAGTTTGGGGGCGGATATGTAAAAAGGAAGTCCATATGTTTAGGTGTTATAAAATACCTGCAGTCAGCCCTCTTATTGGTGAGGGTAATGGACTCTGGGGTCCATAATGGCTTCATCCATCGGGAGGGCGATCCTAGAGGATGTGAGGGGCTTTAAAGTGCACAAGAGACAATATTATTTCTCTTGCATTTCCCGCAGGTCCCATTCTTGTGCCATGGCTACTCTTTTAAAAAGTTCTTGGAACTGTTTAGTATCATTGGATGGAGGTGGAGTGGTAGAAATAATAGTCTCATATGGTGAAGAGGAGGAGCTGCGTAGGGGGAGATCTGTCTTCCCCCTTTGACAGAGTTGTCCAAGTCAGATTGAATGGGCTCTGCAGAATTTGGTGCTGTGGCTGATGGTGTCGGTTGAGGAGACTGAGGTGGTCTTTTTGGTGTTGATGGAGCAGTGTGATGGCTCCTACGAGAAGACTAAGACTCCCAGGGATGCCACTGTCCAGGGTAGGGGGTGGTAGATATGGCCAATGTTGTGAGTAGCAAGGCAGTGGTGGAAGCAGGTGATTGTGTGTCAAGGAACGAGACTCCCAAGGCGGGTACCTCTGAGTTGGATTTGAATGCTGAGATAAGAAGCGGTTGTGTGGTTCGGGGCTGGCTTCACTGGGGCAGACTGATGGGACCGGAGATCTCGGTGAGTGAACGGCCTGCACCAATGAACATGGAGATGGCTGTGCCGATGAGGCCCGGATAAGGGGGGGCATATGGTACCGTGCACATTGTGGTGGCAGTGCCATGGCTGAGTGTTTGGTATTCTGTGCCGCAGGCACCATTGGGGATGGTGCCTGGGGGGGAAGGCATTTCAGTGAGATGTCTTTTCGGTGCCACATCCTGTGCCATCTCCAGTGTTGCCTTCCATGCCGGTCTGTGTCTCCGTGACACCCACTATTCGGCCGGTGCGGTTGGTGGCACCGGTGCTGGCTGCTTTTGTTTGGGCTCGGAGTGGGCCCTTTTCTGTGATACTGATGACTTAGGCAGTGCTGCACTAGAGGTGCTGGGCTTATCGCCAATGCTCACCCTCAAAGAACTCCGTACCGGGTATAGTGATCTGGCTGGGGAAACACAGATTTTCACCTTTGACTTGCCAGAAGACAAAGAGGGACGAGTTTTGTCCATACCTTTTGGCTTGTCTGACTGTTTAGACTTGGAACGCAAGTCATCCCATGGTGCCTGAAGCAACTTTTTGTAAAAATACATTTTCAGCCTATTGGTGCGATCGTGGCATGCTCTAACTGTAAGATTGGAGCAATGCATGCACTTCTGTGTCAGATGAGCCTCTCCTAGACACTTTATGCATAAGGCTTGCCTCTACTTTGCACAGCATCTAGGCAGGACTCACACCATTTAAAGCCTTAGGATCTATGCATGAGGAAAAAAAACGTCTAGGTGAACAATGAAGAAAAAAATGGGGTGGTTCTTTTTTTTTTTTTTTTTTTTTTTAAGGGTAGTGGGTTGGGGGGGGATTCAAAACTTGGAAAGACGAGGAAAACTGAGAAGAATTAATTATTTGTTCTTGTTTTTCTGTGAGAAAGGGATTAGAGAATGGAGCTCCGTCTGTTGCTGAGGACAATAGAGAAGGAACTGAGGAAGCCATGCATGTGCCTAACGGACACCAATGGCATGAGGAGGCACCATTGTGCGTGTGCAGCATAATGGGGCATTGCTAAAAAAAAAAGATCTCTGGTCATTGGTGTAAGAATACACCAGCACCCAGAGTGGAGCATCCATGGGGACATCACTCGAAGAAAAATGCTTTGGTGTGTTTTTACATACCTTTAGTACTACTAACTATAGTCATGACATACATACAGAATAAAGAAATATAGAACATAGTTCAAGGAAGCAATAGCTGAATCTTCAATAAAACTGTTCACAGTCTACATCAAAACACACAAATCTGCAGCCTACTTAAATGTACAGTTTGCTCGATAGTTGTAACTGTTCAGCACACACTACAAGGCAGAACTTCTGGGAATTACATTAGAGAATGAGCTAATGTGCATTTCAGTTACTATGGTATCATTCTGGGAAACATAGATGAATATTATTGGAAACTTTGGAAATAGTAGTTTCAATATTTTTGATGAAGGAAGATGGGAAAAGAGAGAGAGCAAATTGCAGCCCCAATAGCAGAAATGATCCCTGGACATTTGCAAACCATTCTGGCACTTTGATGACTAATATACTGTGGTAGCTAAGTTCAACAGCATTTTCAATATAATTTCTAGTGCAGGAATTGTGTGTGCATGTGCGTGTGTGTGTAAACTAGCATTTTAAAAGTAAATAAGAGGATAGTTTACCTGTATCATTAATAAACATATCATAGGAGTCCCATGTCTTGTCATCTGAAGTAATAGTTCCATTGGTGGAGTTAAACCTTCTGACACATTTATGTCTTAAATTGCCCTTAAAGAGCTGGAGGCCTACGAGGGCAAAGACACTCAAGCAGAAAACTGTCAGGATCATCACATCAGTAAGTTTCTTAACAGACTGGATCAGTGCACCTACAATGACCTTCAGTCCTAAGGAGATAAAATTCATCAGTGTACGGACTGAGAAACTGAAACGTGTACTATTCTTTGAGATTTAAAACAACAAGCACGGCCATAGTTTCATAATTACTGTGCCAGTGTTACATGCATCTTTGCAATGCAAACATAGTCCAGGTGAGACAGAAGTGATCTACATGCAGTTCTCTCCCTACACACAATTATCCCCAGCACTTTTGCAGGGAATGCAGGGTGTGTGAAGGGTAGAAGATGCCTTATATTCTTTCTCCAGGTAATGCACACTCGTGCATGGATATCAAGGATAGTCTTTCATAATCTAGAAAGTGGAATAAACATAATGCTAATAAAATTTGCAGGGATGCTTCCCAGGGAGGACCTGAGAACACTAACAACATACTGAAAATAATACAGAGGGACCAGAAAGAGACTAATGAACCAAATTCAACAACCTTATTCAAGTTTTATACTGCCCTTCCTTAATCAGGCAGTGCCTAATTGACTTCCTGACCAAGGAGTAATAAAAACTGGACAAATTCTGATCCAATAATAATAAATATTAATTGTAAAGCACAATTTTGTTGAGGTTGTGACAATGCATAGTCAAAACAATGATAAACAACAATTACAAGAGATTTCAGTGTATCACATTATAAAAATCAACTAAAATACTCAAACACATAAACAAACAAAGTAAGTTAGATGGCAAATTATTTCCAGTGCTTAAATTACTCTAAATGGGTCAACAACCCTGAAATACCACACATGTCTACAAATTCAATGGTGTCTGTAGCAGCTGAAAGTCAAACAAAAAAATACAAAAGTTCTGAAAAAAAAAGTAGTTGGAGGAGAAAATCACTTGTTGGAAAAAAATATTCAAAGATCTGTGCTTCTTACCTGGGACTATTGAAATAGTTTTTAAAGCTCTCAGAACTCTGAATGTACGAAGGACTGAAACACTGCCTACATCATGAAGCTCCCCTACATATCTGTAAAATCAAGACATGACATAACATGCTATTGAACTGAATAAACAAAACAGCTATTTTACATGCCTTTTCCTAATGCTAACCTTTCTGAGTACTGAATATAATTTCTTAGGCATTAACAAATAATATGTCAAGGGCTCATCCCATGTATTATGCATTAGAAATCTATTTGTTGGTTACTTCAAATGGAACCTATTTGCATGATAATGCTTGATCATGTATGTTGCCAACTTCCTACAATACACTTTTTTCATTAAATTAAAACAACACAGACATTACTCAAAATTGTGTATTTCAAACACAGAAAGAAGAGAATAATTTATTTTTTTATCAAATCATCAAGTAAAACTTCCTCCCCAGCCCCACAATAAAGCTAGCAATTTCCCTTGCATCACAGCCCAACATTCTGAAAAAAAATCCATTTATTTTCCTTACCAAAACTAAAATCTATCCTTTAGTACTGTGTCTCCTATTCCCACAATGCAAAGCAATCAATTCTTCTCCCACCCCTCCAAGAGCCCCATTCTACCAAAGAAGCCTATCTGCTACAGCCTTTATTCCTCTGCTTCTTTCTAGCTCTTTCTTTTACTATTTTTTTCTTCTCCTCACACACACACATACATACACATGCATGCGTGCGCACACACACACATGCAGAGAGTTCTATTGGCCAAGCTGGAGGTCAAACTCAAGACAAAGTGAGTTATAACTTCAACAGAGATATTAATGACAAAGTGATTCAGAACATTTCTCCTAATTTATTTTATACACAATCTGGTTTGTTTGGAGCAAAAACGGGAAAGACCACAGCAAAGCTTCACTTACACACACTCACAGGAGGTACATGTAACTCTATATTTCGCTTTTCCTTTAATGGCATCATTCTGCTATTCTTTCCCTTAGAATGGTATTCAATACTCAATAGTGGCATGTGAACTAGCAATAGAAAGGGACCTATGGATATAATAGAACTACAAAGTGGCCTTTTCTACACTACATGAGAAGGTCAAAGAAAGATACGCAACTTCACTACATAAATTATGTAGCTAGAGTCGACATATCTTACATCGTGTTTCCACACCATCCACACAGCAGGAAGTCAATGAGAGCAAACACTCTCATTGGCTTCCCTTACTCCTCGTGAGGAGCAGGAGTAAAGGAAGTTACTCACTTCGTGCAGTAACGATCGTTCTTCGAGGTGTGTCCCCGTGGGTGCTCCACTTCTGGTGTCGGGCTGGTCCCGGCGCCGCAAATCGGAGCTTTAACAGAGCTGTGTGTGTGTGTGTGGTCGGGCAGCGCGCGTGCACTCCCGTTTCGCGCCTTTCATCTACCGCGCGCTGCCCGGCTCCCGCCAGTTCGTCTCACCGCCTATCTGAAAGACAGAAAAAAACAAGATTCCGAAGCAGGGAGGAGGGCGGGTCGTGGAGCACCCACGGGGACACACCTCGAAGAACGATCGTTACTGCACGAAGTGAGTAACTTCCTTTTCTTCTTCGGGTAGTCCCCGTGGGTGCTCCACTTCTGGTGACTCCGAAGCAGTAATCTCGGCTAAACGTGTGTTTCGGAATCGGTATTCCGAGCAGTAGGCAACACTGCCAAGGCTACTGCTGAGTCAGTGGTGAAGTGCTGAACAATTGCATAATGTCTTGAAAAGGTAGAATTTGAAGACCAAGTTGCAGCACGGCAGATGTCACGAAGAGGGACACCTTTCACGAAAGCTGTAGACGTAGCGACTGCTCGTGTTGAGTGAGCTCTAGGTTGCGAGGTGAGAGACTTCTTACGGATAGTATAGCACGTCGTGATACAAGAGACAACCAGCTTGGAAATGCGCTGGGCGGATAAGGACTTGCCCCTAGAAGAGCCCGATGTTGAAATAAAGAGGCGGTCCGTCTTACGTAAAGTACGGGTTCTGTCTATATAGAAAGCCAGGGCTCTGCGGACATCGAGCGTATGCAGGAGAGCGTCTCGCTGAGATGCATGCGGTTTTGGGTAGAAACATGGCAAAACAATTGGTTCGTTTATGTGAAATTCCGTACATACTTTAGGTAGAAAGGCTGGATGAGACCTCAGTATCACTGATTCCGGGTTGAAGACCGTATAGGGAGGCGTTGACATTAGTGCGGATAACTCGCTCACCCTGCGTGCTGATGTTATAGCCAGAAGAAAAAGTACCTTCATCGTAAGCATCGGTAGCGGTACCGTGGCCAGCGGTTCAAACGGTGGCCCAGTGAGGACATCGATAACCAGGTCAAGACTCCATACAGGTGGCGGAGGTCTCCGTGGTGGGTTGAGGTTAGCCAATCCTCTGAGAAATCTAACCATCATGGGGTGAGAAAAAACCGACTTGCCTTCAACGGGGTAGTGAAAAGCAGCTATTGCCGCTATGTGGACCTTAAGTGATGAAATGGCTAGTCCGGTTGCCTGCAGCTGAAGGACATAGTCCAATAAGACATGCATCGGCGAAAGCAAGGGATCCAGGAGTTTAGGAGCACACCATCGTACAAATCTGGACCACTTTGACAGGTAGGTTTTCCTGGTGGAATCTCTCCTGCTGTGCAGGAGAACACGCTTCACTTGGTCCGAACAAAGATTCTCGGACTCGCTGAACCATGTACCATCCATGCAGTGAGGTGCAGAGTGTCCAGCTTCGGGTGACGCAGTGAGCCTCTCTGTTGTGTCAGCAAATCTGGTAGGCAAGGCAGTCGGCGCGGTGCTCGTACAGAGAGCTGCCGAAGGGTTGAGTACCATGGCTGCCTGGGCCATGCTGGGGCTATAAGTATCACTCGTGCCCTGTCCATCACAACCTTCTCGAGTACTCTGGGAATGAGTACAACAGGGGGGAATGCATACAAGAGTGATGTGCCCCAGGGAAGGAGGAATGCATCTCCCAGCAAGTGAGGTCCCACTCCCGCTCTGGAACAGTAAGCTCTGCATTTTGCGTTGGCACGTGTTGCAAAGAGATCTATCGTCGGAAACCCCCACTGATGGAAGAGAGTTAAGAGGACATCTGTGCGGATCACCCACTCGTGGTCCTGGGGGAAATACCTGCTCAGTGCATCGGCTGTGGTATTGTTCACACCCGGTAAGTATGACGCAACTATAGAGATGTTGTTTCGAATGCACCATTTCCAGAGACGGATAGCCTCCGCACAAAGTGAGCGGGACCGGGCACCCCCCTGTCTGTTTACGTAGTACATTGCGACTACATTGTCCGTGAGGATTCTGGTGACAGTACCTTTTATGTATACCTTGAAGTGTTTGCAGGCATGAAACACGGCTCGAAGCTCGAGAAGATTGATGTGGAGCATCATCTCCGTAGTGGACCAACGACCCTGAACTGTTTTTGTGCCCATGTGGGCACCCCAGCCGATGAGAGAAGCGTCTGTGGTTATCTCTCGTGACGGTTGTGGTGCATGGAAGGGAACTCCTGACAACATGTTGTTGTGATTCGTCCACCATACTAGGGAGTCTTTGACATGTACTGGAAGTACTACCGTCTTGCGAATGCTGTGGTCGGTAGGCTTGTAAACCGTGCTTAGCCAATGCTGCAGACACCTGAGGTGCAGTCTTGAATGGCGCACTATGATTGTCGTGGAAGCCATATGTCCCAGAAGCTGGAGACATACGCGTACCGGGAGCATTGGAGCGTGCAAAACTGTTTTTATCAGATCTTGCATTACTTGAAAACGCTCGAGTGGAAGATGGACTCTTTCCGACTGGGAGTCGAGACGCGCTCCTATGAAGGTTAAAATCTGCGTAGGTCGTGGGCGCGATTTTTGAGTGTTCACGATAAGGCCGAGGGAGTCGAACAACTCCTGAGTTGCGACTACCATGTGTTGAGCCTCTAACTGGGTGCGCGCCTTGATGAGGCAATCGTCGAGGTAGGGGAAGATAACGACTCCTATCCTTCGAAGATGGGCAGCCACTACCGCTAGTGTCTTGGAGAACACCCTTGGGGCCGAAATGAGGCCGAAAGGCAGAACCCTGTACTGAAAATGATCGTCGCCCACTACGAATCTGAGAAAACGCCTGTGGGCTATGTGAATCGTTACATGGAAATATGCGTCTTGCAAATCCAGGACTGCGAACCAGTCTCCTCTGTTTAGTGCTGGCATGATCTTGGCCAGGGTGGTCATTTTGAAGCGCTGCTTTCGAATAAAACGGTTCAGACCCCTCAGATCCAGGATCGGTCTCCACCCTCCGGACTTTTTGGGAACCAGGAAATATCTGGAGTAGAACCCTTTGCCTCGGAATTCGTCGGGTACTCTCTCTATGGCTCCGATCTCGAGTAGGTGAAGAACCTCTTCTCGAAGAGCGGCCCCATGAGACGGGTCCCTGAGAAGGGATGGGGTGGGAGGAGTGGTCGGAGGGATTGATGCGAACGGGATTGTCAGGCCCGACGATATGACCTCTAAGACCCATCAGTCCGAGGTAATGGTGGCCCATTGATGAAGGAATGGCCTGAGGCGGTGGTGGAATAGAGTGGTGGTGGTGATTGCAGGCTTCCGAGTGCTGACCGTTGGAGACATGTTCGCGTCCTCTGCACGGGAGTCAAACCTGCTGCTTCTGGGAAGGTCGAGCAGCAGAGCGGGTCTCAAAGACTCCCTAGTATGGTGGACGAATCACAACAACATGTTGTCAGGAGTTCCCTTCCATGCACCACAACCGTCACGAGAGATAACCACAGACGCTTCTCTCATCGGCTGGGGTGCCCACATGGGCACAAAAACAGTTCAGGGTCGTTGGTCCACTACGGAGATGATGCTCCACATCAATCTTCTCGAGCTTCGAGCCGTGTTTCATGCCTGCAAACACTTCAAGGTATACATAAAAGGTACTGTCACCAGAATCCTCACGGACAATGTAGTCGCAATGTACTACGTAAACAGACAGGGGGGTGCCCGGTCCCGCTCACTTTGTGCGGAGGCTATCCGTCTCTGGAAATGGTGCATTCGAAACAACATCTCTATAGTTGCGTCATACTTACCGGGTGTGAACAA